CAAGATGCTACACCCATTAAGCCCTACAGAAATTCGTGAGACACTTTACAGGACAGCTTGTCCTACGGGTTCTAATTTTTCAGATCTTTGAATTTACTCCTCACTTTTAAAAATGTCACTTACTTATCTCCCAATAATCTTATTATTTTTTTCCTTCACGTTCCCAGTTGAACATAGGGACTCAAGCTAGTGGCTTGAAGTTTCTGTAGCAGTGTTTAATTTTACAGGATGGGGTTGCTAGCCTCGTGCCCAACTTTTCCTCTTTACCAGCATTATTTCTTGCTTAGAGAGGTAAAGGAGTGCGTTGGCGGCCGGGGATCGAACCCCGGAACACGTGCATGGTCGGCGTGCGATCTTACCGCTGTGCCACCGACGCACCTTTTTATTTTTATGCACTAATATACTCTACACTTTATGCTGACTACCCAGGCCATTATGAAAGCTAAAACTTGCTCTTTCTTCGCATCTTTTGCTTGCCCAAAGTATGGTTGCTTTAATTAAAAAAGAAGCACAACAACACCAATGTTTGAACAAAGCTTTATCTTCATCGAAAACATCAGTTTCCATGCTTAGACCGATTTGGTTAGCGTTAAACATTGCAAATGTATATACTATCATCATTTCAAGTACTATATAGCTTCATCTTCTTGTATTCATCTTGTAAGTATGCTTCGAATAATGTTCAAATTATTCATAATTGCGCATTTTATAACATTTTGCAGCTGTGCAAAATTTTCTTCTCTTCCTGTGAAATAGCGTTCAATCACATGGCGGCATAGCACTCACCCAGATAGAAGATATACGCTGTTCACTATTGGTTGACCATAATCGTTATCAGCAGGCGACGGAACGAAGTTTGGGTTGTCGCTCAATTTTGATGATGGGTGACACCTTAGAAAACGGTCTTTTACAATTTAACGTTTATGAGAACCTGTTCTGATTGCTTGTAAAATAATTGAACAAATGGAACTTTTGAAAAAGTATTAATTTATATGATACTTCAGGATTGTAATTTATAACGTAACTAACTGATCTTGCCTGTAAAAATGGCATGCGTTTCTTGTAAACTTACCCGTTTATACGAAATATAAATTATTATTATTACTGTACACCTTAATTTAATTTTTATAAACTTCTTTTAACCTGATTCTATATTAGTGGACACTTGTTGTATCCACTGATATTCACAGATTTAGTTCTTAGGTTATTGTGAAATACTGACGTCACGTTTCCGATGGTAACAGAGATCATGAAGAGGAGATATGATAGAGAAGATTTGTAACTCAGGTGGATGGATGATTTTGGTGTGGTTGTGTTCTCTGAGCTAACTGGATAGTTAATTTTCGAAGCTTTCATCGCCCTATTAGGCGACATCTTCGGCGCATACTTCAATCTGTATTGAAGTGAGCTTTTAGATTTCTCCACGAGTTTAATAATCATCTCTCCTGGCGACCATCTTGAACAAAGGAAACCACCTTACCATATATAAAGGATATCTCAGAAATCACTACAAGATTCTTCAAACCTTTACAAATTGACGTCGTACACAAACCAACAAAGTCACTTCACTCAGTTCTATGTCAACTAAAAGTCTCAACAGCGAAACAAGAAGATAAGACCAACATCATCTACAATTCAGAAAAAGACTACATTGACCAAAATGAACGTCCCACCTCTTCGTCTTCGTATCCGCGAACATTAGCTAGCCGTCAAAAGACATGATATCCACTCCCTCACTCATCATAGAAATGCTGATGGAAGTATCCTTAACTGAACGTAATGACTTAGGAATCGACTTGTTACCAAGGAATAGTCTTATGGACTTAGAATATGCAGATGACATAGTCCTGTTAGGGGAGGATGCTGACAAAATCCAGCAGAGTATTCTGATGAACACCCTGAGCAGCAATCTTCGTATGTTCGGCATGCGATTCGCCCCTGAAAAATGCAAGATGCTGCTACAGGACTGGACTACGTCAACTCCTAGGCTTAGTGATAAGGGGGAGTGAAGTGATAGAACATGTTGACCACTTCACCTATTTGCGAAGTTGTATTAGCCCCAACGGACTGATTGGCGATGAAATCTCAGCACGGATCCGAAAAGCTCGAGCTGCTTTCGCTGACTTACACCACCTCTGGCGTAGGCGTGACATCCGGCTATCAACCAAGGGACGCGTGTACTGCTCACCAGTTCGCTCCGTCCTTTTCTATGGCTCTGAAACATGGCCAATACGCGTTGAAGACATGAAAAGGTTGACTGCTTTCGATCATAGATGTCTGCGATCTCTGTCTCACGTTAGGTGGTTTCATAAGGTAAGTAATGCTGACGTTAAGTGAAGAGTGTTGGGTAAAGAGAAAAATTCAATCGACGAGGCTATAAAGTGACATAGATTGAGATGGTTAGGTCATGTGGTGCGCATGCCTAACCATCGCCTCCCCCCGCCGACGGGCATTACTAGCTGATGTAGGTGCAGGTTGGAAAAGAGCCAGTGGGGGCCAAACAAAAACATGGCCTCACCAATCAATGAAATCCTTGACAGTTAAACTGAGTCGGTCAGGTAGGGAGATGCAGACTTCCGGGTTGGGGCCCTCGGGACTGACTCTAGGAATCAATGGCTGGAGACAATAGGTGACACATGGCTCAAAATCGTTGTCAATGACAGCGCAGATGTATTCAGTCTCTGTAATCTTTCATATTCCTCCTTTCTACCATTACCCATTCTGTTTCACTCTTATACTTGTCAGACTGTATTGATTCTCTTCACTCATCTTCTTGTCTACCTCTGTGTGCTATTTGGAACGTGGCAACTCGAACTGGTGCACTTCGGTGCCAAGTTCTATGTTGAATCCAGACAGACAGATCGCTTCACTACATACAGACAACTACGGAAATCAATTCGACTGCGACAACCCATGTTCATATATTAAACAGACAGAAGAAACAACACCGAGAATGCTAGAGAAATTTTAGAAGCCTGTCTGGTATTCCAGTGAAGCATCATCAATCAATAGACACATCGAGATAGACAAAATCTACCAATCGATAAGTAGGAAACCTCACATACACACAATGGGTCGAAGTTCAAGTCAAAGAAACAATCAGCCCCAATACAAGTAACTTAGAAGGTGTGAAAACACAAAAACAACCCATCACGTTCAAGGTGGTCACCGACCAGGAGGGATGATTAATAAACTCAAGGGGAAATCTAAATGCTTACATCAAATGAAATTAAAGTATGGGGTGAAGGAAGACATCGCCTGCCGAGAAGAGCGATGGGAGCTTCGCTAATTAACTACCCATCTGCTCAGAGAACACAACCACATCAACATCACGAAGACGACAATCCCATGTAACATATTTCTTCACACTACTTAACACCGTAACAATCAGATTTAATGAAGCATATTTGTGCCTTACACAATTCAGCGTATAGGCAAAATAAACTTCAATTTTCATTACAAAGATTTTAGCAGGGTGCGTACAGAGTTTAGTCGTTCTTTTTGCAAGCATTCCTTTGAAAAGCATATCACATTTTAGTCAACACAGGAAAAGGCCTACAATTACACGAATATTTACCCTAATATCCAATATCTATCTATCCATCTACACCTATCCATACGCAAAAATAGTAATTGAAGATTGCGTCACAGAAGCATTTCTAGAACACAAACGACTAGCTTGAACCACACCAAGACTCAAGCATTTTAGTCTTTTTGCATATATACATATATATTAATGGACAGGTGGGAAAACATAGCGATTGAAACGTTCACCCCCACCCATCCCAAACGTGTGCTGGAGGTATGTAGTAGATGACACATTCACTGTACTTAGAACACAGGATATAAACAGATTTTTCGAACATACTAACTAACTCAAAGGTGGAGGCAATTCAATTCACTTATGATAAAATTGGAAAGTCAGGAAGGGGGAACTGCCAATGTTTGACTGTAGCGTAAGAAGGAAAGAAAGAAGATGGGAAGTTAAACACACTAGTATGTGTGTGTGTGAAATGTTTTAGTGACGACAGGGCAAACAATCTAAGTAGTACTAAAGAAAATCTAAGACAGGAAGTGAGACATATAAGAGAAGCCTTGAAACTTAATAATTACCCTGATTTATTAGTCAGAAAGTATACAGGGAAATGTAAAAATAAAATAAACAATGATAGTGATAATAATAATAATGATATTAACGACGACACCAACCATAAGGAATCTAAATCATCAACAGTAATTCCATACAAGTAAGGAACCTCGGAAACTACCTTATAAAGAATTCTTAACAAGACAAGCAGGTATAAAAGTGGCTAGCATTCAAACCAACCACAAACTCAATTAGAAACAAGCTTTGTCGACTAAAGGATCCTGTGGACCCTTTAAAACAAAACAATTTAGTTTATCTAATACCCTGTGTGCTTGAATGATTGTCAGGTCAAATACATAGATGGGTCAAACCAGTAGAACAGGGGCAGTGAGTCAGATTAGCCGAACATAAAAGCCCAGTGGACAAATCTAGATTAGTTGACCAGAATAAGATAAGAAATCCAGAGAATAGTTCAGCACCTATCGCAAGCACCACATGCAATTGCGCACAAACATTCAATAGGCTGGATGGGATAGGATGACAGTTTTAAAACCTAATGTCACAGGGTATAGGGAAAGATTGATAACAACGGAAGTTTTCTTCATCGAATCAACTGCAAATCAACACGTGTGATAGGAATGATTGAACACCTGCCCACCCAGATATCTGAAAAATTATACTACCACGCCCACGACGACAAATAGGAGTGTGATTATAATTGGTGATATGATTATGAACCGCAATAAATTTTGATCAAAAGTGTGTCATCCAGTAAATGCTAATCCTGTTTCACTGACCGGGTGTGATGCATCTGATAAACAAACTCATATGGAATTATATTATATATTATATTTCAGGGCATACGTATCAATTTTGTTTTTCTTAAAACGGTGACCGTTAGTTTTATGCGCATTTAACACATTGCTCTTCGTTGATATTCTGCTGTCGCCACACTGTAATCCTCCATTCGGAAGTAACGACTTTCATTTTGTTGCAGAAACCTAAAAACCAGGAAAACAGAGAGAAGACGACTAATAAACCTTCCCCTTTATTGTATAAATAAACCAGTGAAATAATTAGAAGGGAATCCCTTCTATAAAGTAATTCTAATCAACAAGCACTCAACATTGGGTTCTTTTTGGTTGTGGATTGCATTAGAATCCGAGGAATATTTATGTTGGCACAACAAGCATCCAGAGATGATAGGACTTCCTTCAGGTGAACATAGAGAAAACAGAGGTGATAATGATTCCCGGCCGACACCAACAGCAACAACAACCACAGCAGACAACAATCAGCCAGCATAAATGGGGTGGGGGGAACATGAAAGAAACAACCTCCTTCACCTACCCATCTACCAACATGGGAAGCATCGTTTCAACTACAGGCCAGCGGACGGAACTGACTAGGATATCAAAGAAGCGAGGATCGGGAAATCAAGACAAGCTTTCATCGCTCTCAAGCCTGTGTGGAAGTCAACAGCACTACTCAGCATGAAAACGAAGATAAGATCCGGATTTTCAACTCCAATGTGAAGTCAGTCAGTGCTACTCCCTATACGGATCAAAGACTTGGCCAGCGCATCATTAAGAGCACTTCAAACAAACTACAGACCTGTCTTCGCCCAACACCAATCACGATTAGATGGCCAGCCGGCCGGCTAGAAAAGATCAGCAAGGAAGAAATGTAGGTGAATTGGCCATCCTCTTTCCTACCGATTCTGTAGCATCTTATTACAATTTACAATTTAGCCTCTTTATTTTATCATTATATATTATCGGCCAGCACTCACATCCAGTGCCTCCTCTGTTAATGTGTGTTTGTATGCGTTTGTTTGTGGTTATCGCATTTCTCTCACCCCAAAGACACTTGTATTCTGTTAACTATAAAACAACACTAGATCACCCAATTGTTCATTCACACTTCATCACATTTTCCTCTGACTATACACCCTATACACATTTAATTAACATAACATATAACATAACATAACATGAGCTTTATCCCAAATCAGTACTTGTGATACAGAATGGAATTCTCAGCATTTTACTACAATATTGCATCCAGTTTTTACCCAGTCTAACCCCACTGTTGGTTGGGAACAGTCATGATAGTTGGTTGTATGCCGCCCTCAATCTACCTCAGGTGTTTCTGTATAGGGCTCTCAAGATGTTAACAAATCTCTCAGGTACACCTCTCTCTCTCTCTAACAGACAGTTCCGTCCAACGAATCGAAGGCACCCCTAATATCAAGAAACACAACGATTGTTGGCCTGCAATACGTACGTGTGGCACTCTTCCAACAACTGACGACGGGTGAACACATGATCAATGCATCCACGACCTGAACAAAACCCAGTCTGCTCTTCGCGAATCAATCCCATCATCAATAAGCAAAAAATCATCTATTTATCTGTTTTCTAAAAAATGTTCACTAGTGAGTCATAGTTAAATGTAATACTAATAACGAACCTTAGAACTTTGAGATGGAGAAAAGACTGAGCAATGTTAGCACTACAATGAATATTTATTTACTAACGTGATATATATATAATATTCGATTCTAAGATCAACAACCTAGAACCAAACTTCTTAGTCGGCACAAAAAAGCAGCGATTGTTGACAGCCCACACACTTAATGCTATTTGCGGCAGAACATGCCTTGTCCAGACCTAGGTTTCGTGCTAGTTGGCACTCACCAGTCAGTCAGTCAGCAAGGCGTATCTGCAGCCACATCGAAGGAACAGCTCATGTCCCACCCATCTGAGATTCCAACCCGCGTCACTCTTCCCCCCCCCCACAGTATGTACTCCAGTCAGAGGTGTTACCACTGAGCTGGCTATTTGGACTCGCGATTGACCTCCTGTACGACTGTAGTGGCTATTTTGATTTGACACTACTTCAGTGATAACGTCTCTGACTGCAGTATTCACTGGGTGGTGACGCGGGCTCGAATCTCAGATAGGTGGGACATGAGCTGTTCTTTCAATGTGGTCGCAGATACACCTTGCTGATGAGTCCCAGATGCTCAAGAAAATCTCGTGTGCATTTGGAAGTGTGTAGGCGGGCGGTTGTTACTTCCAGGCCGCCCACACCATTGTGGAAGTTGCTTGATAATACGGGTACCTGAAACAGAGAGAGGGTTAGTATTGCGTGACCGCAGAGTCCAGGGGACACAAATGCTTGAGCCAGGCTGGTCACACACGGCTTGTATTAACTGGTTTCTGGGATTGGTTCCGTATTAGTAAACTTACCGCCGGTTACGGATCACCGTAGGTGGGGTAAGTCGGGATGTGCAATTTTTGGGGTCGACCTTTCCTAACCCTCTCTCTCAAGCAGAGTGGAGAAACAGCATAGCTGACTGGCTGGCTGGTATGCTGGTCATCTGAGGGAAACACCTCACTGTGACTGTTACACCCCTGTTCCCCTGCAGTACGACTTCGCCCTCAGACCCCCAGCATAGTGTAAGAAAGATTCGTACACAATGCTGGTAACTGCTTTTAGTCTAATCACTATCCTAACAACCTTACTGTCATGGTAGGACCTGCAGTAGCATTTGTTCCAGCCAGTGTAGCTTGTTGGGTCATCGCGATGAGCAAGCCCCACCACAACGTCAAGGTAGCATCTATCGACCGGGTCAAGGGCTTCCTGTGACCGATCGCCTCCAACTACCTAATATCATCAAATCAATGTGTGCACCATGATGGTGAGCTAGCTAGCCACCTAGTGGAATGGTGGCCATATTGCAAAACCTCACTGACTGACTGACTGATAGAATTCGGTCTGCACCAAAGAAAGGACTAGACATGTCACACACTAGTTACAAGTGTCAAATCAAAATATAAAATTTAACGCATTATGCAAGATCATGAATGTGTAAATGTGAGAAAAATATATGCGTCTAACTACTCTCCGTTAAATTTACAATGCAATAAAAAACTATGGAAAAAACTCACTGCAAAAACTCAGCGACTAAAGCTTCTAGCATAGGGAGACTATGAATATCGACCCGGACGTATGAAACCATTTCTCGGAGTTTAACTATAAACAGAAAAAAACGTTTCAAAAGACAGACAGTTTTTAGGTTCAATTCACATGAATTGTGGTATGTATGCATGAGCTTGAAAACTATGTACATACCTGTGATTTGCATGGAGGATTTCGTTCATCATGAGCTGACATCAGAGTTAGAGAACCATAAGAAAACCAACCAGGGAGTACTGCCAGAAAGCTGTTTCCCCCGTCCAAGTTTGGGACCGGCTATTCAGCAGTACGCACCCACCCCACCGACAGGGTTCGAACCCAGGACCACGTTCTGGTTACAAGCCCAGCGAGCTCGTACACCATTGAGCCGCTGGGACCCAACTCGATCGAATTGCTAGCCAGCCAGCCAGTGCATGAATTCTAGCTTCTGCGAACTCACACACGACATAGCGCGACCATTTCACAATGTCTTCTTCTTCGATGAGTGAGTTACTGCCTCATCTTCAACCTGCCGTACCCTAAACTAGTCACGGCGCTTCCCACTAGAACTCCAGGTCACTCACCGTCTACCTGAATAGGACCAGTCACTAGTGTGCAGCATCAGATCAATTAATTTTCAAGTATTCCTTTTGTAGGGATTTTGTGCTTGATTGCATGGAGGATTTCATCATAAGCCGATTAGCACTAATTAATCATTTTAAAAAATCAACTGAAAGAATTTTTCAGCAGTACGCACCCACCCCACTGACAGGGTTCCAACCCGGGACCACCTTCAGGTTACAAGGCGGGCAAGCTCGTAGACCAATACCTAAACACTCATCTGATGTTCATCAGCGAATGACTCTATTCAGGCAGTTGCCTGAGGTGCCAGTGGGAAGCCGTGACCACCAGTAGGGTACACAGCAAGTCGAAGTGAAGAAAGTTACTACTCATCGACGAACACATTGATAAGTGGTCGCGCTATGTCGTGCGTAAATTGGCAGATGTTAGAATTCATGCACTAGCTGGCTGGTTGGCCATTGGATCGGACCTCACTGGCTTGATGGTCTACGAGCTAGCTCACTCGTTGGCCTTGTAACCAGAACGTGGTCCTGGATTCAAACCTCGTCGGTGGGAGCATGCTGTTAAAGAGCCCCACAAACTAGGACAGAGGAGGAAACAACTGTTCAGTACTCCCTCCCTGCCTGGGCCTGGTGCTTTTCCAATGGCCTTCTCTAACCGATGTCAGTCAGCTCATGATAAAAGCCTCTAACAAATCAATCAAACAAAATCCCTATAAATCAATACTCGTGATAATAACACTTCTATCAACAAATCCTCAATAAACAGTTCACTTTTATGTTCACTTAAGTTCACTTTTTTGTATGCTACATGTCATTCAAACTTTTGAAAAAGAGAAGACGTTCAGCGAAGGGACTCTTTTCGACGGCGAATTCATTCACATAGCCAGCTGCACAATCGCATTTATATATACAATTATTTGTGTGTGTGTGTGTGTACATGAGGTTTGTCAAGTTTAGACAATTAATCAGGTAATACAAGAATGATCTAATATAGAAACAAGGTTAATCAGACAACAACTAAAGTTAGATTGAGTTAGTCAGTAGGTTAGATGACGTAATATAATTGACTAAAATGTTTCAACTTAGGTCAGGGTAGCAAAACAGAGGTAATTACAGGTAGAGAAAGACTAGACTAACTAGAAGTGGGGTTAAGAATAACGCCATTTAAATTAAAACTAAAAATGGAGCAAATAAGTTGGATAACGTTGGGTAACATAAATGACCACAAATTGAGCGTTGATCAAGTCAGTAACAGTTGTAGTGAGATGTAGGAATTAAATCGGGTGGGGGTAGAGAACAAGAAAGTTAAAAATGTAAAATATTACAATTGAGAAGACAATATAATATAATATAAAAGGATTAGGTAGAATTTACTTGTCGGGTAATAAGATAGATTACATCCATTGCAAGTGTAGTGACTGAACGAACAGGGCTTAGCAAATGAATCGCCATTGATTCTGCAGTTTGAACAAGTCTGATTCGTACACCCCTTTAGGGAGACCACTTCATATTCTGTAGACGGCTTGGAAGTTTGTTTGAAGTGTAGCTTGGTGTCCGGAATCTATCACATATTCTGTGATAGAGCTGGATGGGGGCATCGTATTCCTCCTTCGTAAAACCGTGTTGGTAAGTGTTCGGGGATACGTTTGGAAAGCGAACGCTGGCTGGGTACGGCCGACATACCTGGCTCCACACGAGCAGGTGAATTGATAAATACACAGTGATAAGGTGGCCAACAGTCGTAGCTTAACCTTCACGTTCACATGAATCATAGGTTTTATGGAGAAGGTTAGTCCGTAGTTCAGCTGTGAAGAAGGTCTCCTAAAGTGAGCGCGACAGTCGATTTTTCAGTGTTTCCGCAGATATATATCTTCATTGAATTCAAAGTGCATGTTGAGTAGCTTTTTCAGGACGCTAAGCATGGATGGCTTTTGTGGTCTAGAATTCATAGATTTTGCAATAAATCTTTCTCGATAACAATTCTCGACGAAACACACACACACAAAATGGTTATATATACAACTAGTTATGTGAATGAATTCGCCGACGGAAAGAGTCTTTCCGCTGAACGTCTTCTCTTTTTTTTTCATATGACTCAATGAGGATTCTCAAGCTGCTCATACTTTTTCATGCTGAACATTATTTTGATTAAGTAAAAAATACTGTCCGCCGCCTATTTGTAAATAATCACAGTTTCTTTGTTTTTCAACTTCTTAGTATCAAGCATATTAAAGTTACAGAAAGTACTACTTCCTTAGATTTCGATATGTATTTGTTCTTCTTAAAAAAAATTCGTGGAAAACACCTACATGGGGGTGGTCATTAGAAAGAAGAGAACACGAAGCTCAGAAAAGATGACGGACGATCTTTTAGGCGATTGGCTGTCTTCAAAAGTAGCTGTACAATCGCACTGAAATACATAATTTTGCTTACATGGATACATAATTACGAATTACGGCTAATAAAAGGTGACAATTACATTCAACTAGGTAGATGGTTTACGGGGAGAGGCTTAGCTACAAAATTACACAGGATTAGAACGAATAACCATAGTGTGTAAAAATGAGCGAGCATGGGAACAAAATTGAAATAGTGATAATGATAATTGTCAACTTGACATGGGAGTTAGGAGATGCAAATATAAGTTACAAGAGCCTTAGAAACAAAAATTATACAGCGTTACAAACAATTACTGGCGTATAGAAAATGAGCATGGAAGCATCTCAACTGAGTTGTTCAAAGTAATTTACAAAGTCAACAGAAACCTACCAAAAGCAGTGTTTCCGACTTCTCTCTCTCTCTACTGCAGAAGCCCTCACAATATGCATCGAGAAGTCGGAGTTGTGTGTTCAAAAGAAATTATAGTCCAACCTCTACAACTACCATGGACCTAGTTCGGTATGTTCCCCTTAGCTTCCGTTTTCTTCTTTCATTATCTTTTTTTGACCTTTTATCGTCCTCTGTGTGTGTGTGATTGTTACTCCCTCTGTCTTCATTCGATTCACCCCATTTCTGTTTCCACTTATCAAAAACAGTTATTTTAATTTTGTTTCCATGCTTTTCCTGTTCACATTTAGAATTCCTTTAAAATAACTATTTTACAATTATATCTTACTCCTGGTCAATTTTTGTGTTACTAAGGCTCTTCTAATTTATACTCACACCTCCCAACTCCCATGTCAAGTTGGAAATCATGATTATCACTATTCCAATATGGTTTTCATACTCGCTCATTTTTCCACACCCTAGTTATCCGTTCTAATCCTGTGTTAATTTTGTTCATTACCCCTTCCTCGGAAACCATCTCAAGTTGAAAACAATTGTCACCTTTTATTCGCCGTAATTCGTAATTATGTATTCATGTAAGTAAAATTATGTATTTCAGTGCGATTGTACAGCTACTTTTGAAGACAGCCAATCGCCTAAAAGATCGTCCGTCATCTTTGCTCAACTTCGTGTTCCCTTCCTTTTTAAATAAAAAACTCACACCTTATGCAGTGAAACCAAAAAATCACTCAAAATAAGTAGTTTAGTTCTTTAAAAATATCATAAGAACAGAACATTAATTCCATATTATAATTTGTTTATCAGATGTATCACACAGTCAGTCAGTGAAACAGGATTAGTATTAACTGGATGACACTTTTTTGAAAAAAATTTATTGCTGTTCATAATCATATCACCAATTATAAATCACACGACTTGGAAACTTGACTTTTATAGTTTTCTTTGTCTTCTCCTATTTGTCGTCGTGGGTGTGGAAGTATAATTTTTCAGATATCTGGGTGGACAGGTGTTCAATCATTCCTATTACACGTGTTGATTTGCAGTTGATTCGATAAACAAAGCTTCTGTTGTTATCAATCTCTCACTCCCTCCCTGCACCCTGTGACATTAGGTTTTAAAACTGTCATTCCATTCCATCCAGCCTATTGAATGTTTGTGTGTGATTCCATATAGTGCTTGCGATAGGTGCAGAACTCTTCTCTGGATTTCTTATCCTATTCTGGTCAACCAATCTAGACTTAGCTAGGTTTTTATCCTGTTCGGCTAGTCTGACTCACTGACCCTGTTCTACTAGTTTGACGTATGTACATGACCTGACAATCATTCAAGCACACAGGGTATTAGATAAACTAAATTGTTTCGTTTTAAAGGCTCCACAGGATCCTTTAGCCGACAAGGCTTGTTTCTAATTGAGTTTGTGGTTGGTTTGAATGCTAGCCACCTATATGCCTGCCTGAATGGTTGAGAATTCTGCATAAGGTGGTTTCCAAGGTTCCTTCCTTGTATGCAATTACTGCTGATGATTACGATTCCTTATTGTTGGTGTTGTCATAATATTGTGAATGTCAGAAATGCATATCGTCATTAATATTATTATTATCACTATCGCTACTATCACTATTTATTTTTATTTTTTACATTTTTCTACGTATTTCCTGACTAATTTATCAGGGTAATTATTAAGTTTCAAAGCCTCTCTTATATGTCTCACTTCCTGTCTTGAATTTTTTTGGTACTACTTAGATTGTTTGCCGTGTCGTCACTAAAACATTTCACCAATCCTATTTTCACTGACATCGGATGGGTGGGCTGATCTGTCTGTCTGTCTGGATTCAACATAGAACTTGGCACCGAAGTGCACCAGTTCGAGTTGCCACGTTCCAAATAGCACACAGAGGTAGACAAGAAGATGAGTGAAGAGAATCAATACAGTCTGACAAGTATAAGAGTGAAACAGAATGGGTAATGGTAGAAAGGAGGAATATGAAGGATTACAGAGACTGAATACATCTGCGCTGTCATTGACAACGATTTTGAGCCATGTGTCACCTATTGTCTCCAGCCATTGATTCCTAGAGTCAGTCCCGAGGGCCCCGACCCGGAAGTCTGCATCTCCCCACCTACCTGCTGACTCAGTTTAACTGTCAAGGATTTCATGGATTGATGAAGCCAAGTTTTTGTTTGGCCACCACTTACTCTTTTCCAACCTGCACCTACATCAGCTAGTAATGCCCGTCGGCGGGGGGAGGCGATGGTCAGGCATGCGCACCACATGACCTAACCATCTCAATCTATGTCACTTTATAGTCTCGTCGATTGATTTTCCCTCTTTGCCCAACACTCTACGCCTAACGTCAACATTACTTACCTTGTTAAACCACCTAACGTGAGACAGAGATCGCAGACATCTATGATCGAAAGCGGTCAACCTTTTCATGTCTTCAACGCGTATTGGCCATGTTTCAGAGCCATAGAAAAGGACGGAGCGAACTGGTGAGCAGTACACACGTCCCTTGGTTGATAACCGGATGTCACGCCTACGCCAGAGATGGTGTAAGTCAGCGAAAGCAGCTCGAGCTTTTCGGATCCGTGCTGAGATTTCATCGCCAATCAGTCCGTTGGGGCTAATACAACTTCGCAAATAGGTGAAGTGGTCAACATGTTCTATCACTTCACTCCCCCTTATCACTAAGCTAGGAGTTGACGTAGTCCAGTCCTGTAGCAGCATCTTGCATTTTTCAGGGGCGAATCGCATGCCGAACATACGAAGATTGCTGCTCAGGGTGTTCATCAGAATACTCTGCTGGATTTTGTCAGCATCCTCCCCTAACAGGACTATGTCATCTGCATATTCTAAGTCCATAAGACTATTCCTTGGTAACAAGTCGATTCCTAAGTCATTACGTTCAGTTAAGGATACTTCCATCAGCATATCTACGATGAAGTTAAATAGAAATGGGGAAAGTGGACATCCCTGTCGGACGCCACTGGTTGTTACCAATTCAGATGACAATTCCCCATAAGCCCTTACACGACTACGTGAGTCTGAATAGAGTGCTTTGATTAGTGCAATGTATTTTCTTGGCACTCCCCTCACAGTCAGACATTGCCATAGTACCTTTCGATCCACGGAGTCGAAGGCCGCCTTCAAGTCAAGAAATATGACAATTCTTGGACGCCGAAAAGTGTGTCTATGTTCTAGAATCTGTCGAAGAGTGAAGATATGATCTATGCACCCTTTACCTGGTCTAAGGTGGGCTGATCGGAAGTCGAAATATCTGTTTGAATGTGTGAGTTTCCTGTAAACACACACACACACTATAGTGTTTAACCTCCCATCTTCTTTCTTTATTTCTTACGCTACAGTCAAACATTGGCAGTTCTCCCTTCCTGACATTCCAATTCATCATAAGTGAATTGAATTGCCTCCTAGGACAACTACGACAAATAGGAGAGGACAAGGAAACCATAAAACTCAGGTCTCGAAATCATGTGATTATATTTGACGATATGATTATGAACCACAATAAATTTTGTTCGAAACTTTGTCATCCAGTAAATAATAATACTGTTTCACTGACTGACTGTGTGTGATACATCTTATAAACAAACTAATATCGAATTACTTAATACCATCATCACAGTGGCCAAGTTTTACACATCATATACTAAAGGGAACATTAAGACTTACCAAACAATCTCAACAAGTGAATTGATCCATAAATATCTGACATTCTCTTGTCTGTATGACGTTTCAACAGTTCAGCGTATTGTAATCTCTCGAATTTGTATAAAAGATGAGAACCAATAGTAAGATTGAAAAAATGCTGAATTCCAGCAACAAATTCACGCCGTACACTTGGATTTATTGGCATGTTAGTGCTGAGCTGAGAGTTCTGTGGTTCAGTACACGAAGTAGTAGAGTTGTTTATATCGTCACAAGTTGATTCTGACCTAATCATTTCTGCCTCAGAAGTTTCTAAGAAATCTGATAACAGATTACAGATTGGCTGAGAAGCAGGCAGTTTATAAAGCTGTGAGAAAATTTAACCGAAGGACAAAATCATATTTGTAAAATCTCAGCGAAATTGAAATGAGTAATTCCAGTGTTTCCTATGTTCGTCGCAATCTGGGTCAGGGAAATTAATCGAAATTAACATAACAGCTTTATATGCCCAGAAAAGGGAGACACATCTCTTGTTTTTAAAAACTTTCTTCAATCATATGAGTCATGAAACACGTATCAACTTGTATAATAAAATAGTAAAATTGTATGAGCCGTGATCAAAATTTCACCTCGGACCTCTTGCAAATAATCGTCTACATTTGCTAAACCCTTTAAACACAGTATGCATGTGCATAAGAAGATTTAGACAGTCGGGAATTTTGACCAAGTATTATTAATTAATTAGTGATACATATCCAGTTTTATTTATTTATGAATAAGGATTTCTTATGCATCAGCTAACACACATCACACCTTCATGTCTATATGCATCTCTCAGTTCACCTGATCCTCTTGTGGATCAAGATACATTGGACGTAGTCAGAGGACGCTGCATTCCACCGCACGGATGGATACGAGAACATATTCTAACAGCATGGTTTTACAAGGAAGAAAGGGAGTGTGTGTCTGTGCGAAGCTCTATTATGGACTACCTGATCGACTTCTGCCACTCCACACCAACCCCGACTACGATTTTAAGATCATATATAGAATACATCTTGCTGGCCGCGTTTTCTTCATTACAGACTTCTAAAGACAGAGGAGGCCTTGACAATTCATGACTTTAAGCCGGCCAGATAGGTCTTTGTGTACAAAAGAAGTATGCACAATCCCTACTTCTGCCTTGGCCGTAGAGGGATAGACATTTATTTATTTATTTTGTTTATTTAGTTATTCTATGTACTTTTCCCTTATTAATACGATTATTATTATCATTATTATTACTATTCTCACTCTGAATTGTTTCCACTCGTCCTACTTGTCATTCGAAACCCGAAATTATTAATTTTTTATATTTTTTTATTTTTACTATATTGAATTCTATCTTATCGAATTACACACCATGCTGTGTAACATTTTATATTCGCCTACTAATCCTTTAATTATGTACCCCCTTTCCAAACTATGATTATGATCACAAATAAAGCCAGACAAAGGTGCTTATTATCACCCACGATGATATTCCCAATTGTGGTGGACTGACTGGATTATGCATCAGACAGTGGGAAACGAGAAGACAGGGATATCCTGGACTGACCGACGTGAAGAACCTAGAAGACCTGGATTTCGCGCACCGATGATTTATGTTTGATGTCACACAAAATCGAAGACTTACAAGCGAAAACCGACAAACTGGTCAAAGAAGCAGCCAGCGAAGACAGGACTCCAGGTGAACATAGACGAGACGGAGGTTATGAAAATAACCAAACAACAACAACGGCAGCAACATTCACCCAACAGCCAATCACCATCAACGGGAGGGATTTCAAAGAGGTTACTTCATTCACTCACTGATCTAGGCAGCATTCTCTCAACTACAGGTAGTCGGAACGGACGACGATGTCAAATCAAGAATAGAGAATCGGGAAGACGAGAAACACATCCATTCATCAATCTGAAACCAATCTGGAAATCTTCGTCACTCAACCAGCATCAACAACAAAATTCGGTCGGATTGTCAATACAAACACGTCAAGTCTATACGGATCAGAAACTTGGTGGGTTGGTCACAAAGAATATTTCCAACAGCCCATTGCAGACCTATATCAACAACTAACTGTCTTCGTTCTATACTGAACATCAGATGGCCGGACTGGAAAGAATCACCAACAAGAAACTATGGGAACAAACAAAATAAGAGCCAATCGCCAAACAACAAATATGCAGGAGAAAGTGGATGGTGATGGATTGGACACTCGCTGAGGCAGCCACTGGGTGACATCGTGCGTCAGGCCCTCGAGTGAAACCCAAATGGAAGCGGCGAGTGGAACGTCAGTGCAAGGGTGACATGCAGGAGGAGATCGTGTAAAGAGGAGTTGAAACAGTGTGGACTAATATGGATGCAGGTGAAAAGTACAGCAGAAGACGGCAGCATACGGAGACGTGCAGTTGAAGCCCTATGTCCCACCAGGAACCCATGGAAACAACAATATACAATAATAATAATAATAATAATCAGGCGATAACTGTGAACACTTAGTGTGCATCTCACACTTGCTATTGTATGAGGAAGATTGATGGAACTCCCTACCCCGCTCACCTTTGGTAATGAATGAGTTACTGCAGGTAGAGAATCTTTATATATCTTTGAATAAGGCATTTAGAAGACAATTTTCGCCGCGAGATGATATCAGAAAAGACACTTTCTGTACCAAAGAAAGTTATCTATCTTTATTAACCTAACATCCAAGGGTGACCAGATTATGCAGTTGTGACAGCTAGTTCAAAGACTTCGGTCAGCCATCAAACGCACATTCTAAGCCGCCACATCTCTTTTTCTCACATGCCGAATATTTTCGATTCCTGTACCTACCTACGATTAAAGGACGAAATTCTGTGGAGTCTACTTTAAACTGTATCCACACAGGTCACCTGCAGTTGTTGCGGTGACACCTATATAGGTAAAACCAACAGAATGTGCCAACGTCGCTGTCGAAAAGAACGTATTTCAAAATGGTTACTTAAACACATAGATAATCCCAGTGCAATTGATCTAAATAGAAACCCAGCATCATCCATCCATTGCAAAACACTTATTAATGAATGTCAGGTCACAAAATCAATCAATATTAATGGCTGTTTCCCAATTATTTCATCACATAACTCTAATTCAAGGTTATTGAAGGTGGTGAAAGCACCTCGGGGGATTAATCACATACAGCCTAAACTGTGTGTACAGTCGAAAAACAATAGACTTCAACCTTCCTTTGCCTACCATGAACTGACTACTTGACCTATTTAAATATGATGATTAGTCATTAGCATAGTATGTACTTTTGTTTTTTTACATAACTGAGTAATTGTTATGTGAAATTTATTTTATTTTAGTGTTATTGTTAACAATGCTGTTAGTTGTGTAAAGCAGTTGTAAAGCGGAAACTACGAAATGACGATATCATCTCGCGGCGAAACTTGTTTTCTAAATAAACGCTTTATTCAAACGACAACTTATTGTTCGTTATGGACATCATCACAGGAGGGTTTTGAAACTTAAGCAGATTTCCCGTTTTTGAAATTCACGCCTTTATGACGTCGTTAAGGTAGGTAGTTAGAATATCTACAATACCACACATCAGTTAGTGTTTACAATAAAATTGCCAGTATGTCATGTCCGGTGTTTATAAAGTGTGATATCAGGAGCTTATTGAGACTTTGTACGAGTTGATCACGGATTGATACCAGTGAGTTAGAGAAGCAATGAATACCAGCCACAGGGAGTACTGGACAACCAGCTGTTTCACCAGCCAGCCTAGTTTGGGAATCATAGGCAGTACGCACCCACTGCGACTGGATTCTTAGTTTCAACCCATCGAAGTGCAACGATGAGCCAACACTCAGGGTGAGAACATTTCTGATCACCCGCAACCCAGGGTCAAGGTACACACTGTAACATATCCAAGTGACTAAATTGGCCACCAAAATTAACAAATTCCGATCAACGCTCAAAAATTGAAAATTGCTTTGCTGATAACTGGATGATAACGCACAAGTGAATATTACTACTTACCCGAGCTTGCCGAGTAATTAAATCGCAATCATCCATGAGCCAAGATTTCAAACATGGAGGCAGTGACATCGACAAACGCGGCTGAGAGAGAAGGCCATCTTCCTGATATGAAAAATATTGAAAAATATAACAGTAAAGTTGAGAGTATGAACACTGACAGACCTAACTACATATAAATACCTATTAAAACAATTAGTCCCTTTTATAAATTTGAATAGCGTCATTAGAAGACGCAGATTATCCGAAAAACAGTGTGATGTATTTGCACAATACATTTCGAACAATCTGATCACACATTTACGTGTCAAGTCGATATTTATATGAAAAAGTTAAATGAAACAAAGTGACAAAATAAGGATTTAAGAATGAATAACACAACGTTTGGTAATCCAATCAAATAAGCATTACCAAGGTAGGTTAAGAATAATAATGAACTTTTTGAATACATGTTGTGTGGGGCTTAAGTTTATGAATAGCTATAGCCTCAGCGTATTTCAGTAATCGTCCTTGACTGTTTTTATAGATAACCCTAAAGGCTGAGCCAACATCAATCTTATGGTTCATCTCATGCAAAGCGCATTTACTCCTCCCCATGTATGTGTCCACACACACACACGAAAACTGGTAGTGTGGGATGTGACATAATCACTTGTGCACTTTTGAAGTTTGTAGTGGAGCATATTTTCTAGCTTCTTCGACAATTACAAATTGGGCTGCATAGTAGGTTCTAAGGATGTTCGAATTCAACCTTTGTTTAAAAATCCTACTGTTTATTTCACCGTTATATGGTAATTTAATGAGAACACTTTTCTTTGGAGGCAGTATGGATTATAGGTTTAAAGACTAACTGACTTCTACACCTGTTTAAAAATTTTAAAGGATATCCCCATTTTTAACAAGAGTATCCATCAATATTTCGTTTTCATTGTCTATAACATCATCCGTGCAAATACGTTGAATCCTGTTAAATAGACACTTCACCAAGCCTCTTTTATACTGTAATGGACAGAAACTGTAAAAATTAAGGTATTGCCCTGTCCAGATGGGCTTTCTATAGATTGACCATCTTATTGAACCATCATCTCTTCGACACAGAAGTATATCTAAAAATCTATTAAATTAAGCAGTGGGACATACGTACAAGTAAACAGGAGCATATTCACATCCTGAAAGAGGTGAACAGGCAATAGTTAGTATTGAACTGCCAACCAGTCTGTAAGTCTGACCTGCATTATAGCAAATGGATCAGCTCTTAGCTCATATGCAGAAATATGGCTTACTAGAGGCGGAAAAGCATGGATATTGACCAGGATGACACTGTCTGACAAACCTACTGTTAGCTAGGGAAGATTGCGTCTAAGCTAGGGGAAAGAACCATCGTTTAGATGTTGTCTTCATCAATCGTGGTAAAATATTTAATAAGGTGATTCCATTTACATCTCCTCAGTAAACTAAAAGGTTTCGGATTAAACCAACATGCCTATGTCAGTGGTCTGAGGACTACCTGAGGGATAGAAGGCAGAAGGTAAGAGTTAGTGGTGCACTGTCGAGGCGGAAAGTAGTACTAAGTGGAGTACCTCAGGGGACTGCACTTGTGAATCATCGAAAATTCTTACATCTTTATTATTTGAGGACCATATTTAGATGTGGAAAGCTGTCAGTAATAACAATGACAGATTGGCATTACACAACGATCTGGATAAATTAGCTGGAAATTAATTCCAAGAAAAGTGTGGTAATGCACATAGGTCAGAGGTCTTACACATCATCCCAACCCCTCCCCCTGGATGACAACGAACTGCCAGATGTTAAGGGACAAAAGGACTAAGAAATTATTGTAAGCTATGACACAAAATCAACCGCAAATTATAATCGAGTTACAGCTAACACTAGAATGCTATGAATATTTTGAAGGGCTTTCAAACGATTAGACGAGTTTTCCTCCTAAGTACTCCATGCAACCTATGTCAGGCCTCAACTGGAATACTGCAGACAAGCGGTGAGTTCATGCATCAAAAAGGAGGCATATATCCTAGAAAGAATACAGACGGTAGGAAGTAAATTAATCAGTGGTACCTCACACCTTTCTTATGACAAGAGGATGGAGTGTTTAAATCTCTTTCCATTATCATACCGAAGGAGAAGGAGAGATGACTTAATTTCGGCATACCGTGCATTGAAGGATGATTTAGAAATTCATCTTTGACATACTATACACATACTACCAGAGCTCTCTACCTTTATTATCTTGATTCGAAGTCTAGCTCTAGCTCAAAGAAACATTTAGTCTCATGAACAACTTTCTAAGAGGGGAGTAACCAGAGGGTGAATTTGTTAGCAGAAGTGAACATACACAAAACTAATCAGGACGATCTCATGAGGACTAGTGGTCACAGTGTTAGATAACACAAATATCGACTCAAAGTTATCATTGGACACAACGCTGGTACTCTATTATCTCAAAAAAAGGAATTTTTGTATCTCACAAAACGGATCACAATACTAAAGCACAAACTATCTCGGTAAAACAAAATTAAATCGAACAGAATGAAAAGTTGTGACACAAAAAAGCACGATAAACTTGCATTTTCAAGAGACTTTAGCACTGATGACACCCGACTTTTTCTTGTCCTACTTGTTACTGTGACAGGTGGAATAGACGATGCGCATGAATCTTCACAACACTTAATGGGTGGTTTAATATCTTCAGTCTCTTTTACTTCGGCAGGGACACGAGCATCAGTTTTCCGGTTGGTTTCTTCGTCGATCTTTATATTCTTGGTCTTAGGATCATCTACCTCTACAGCGGCGGCACTTAGTATAACCGGGTAATATCTCACCTTGCTTCACTTCACCAGGCTTCAGAGTCCGTTCGACGTCCTCCAGGACTTCTGGAGGTGGCAATGACTGTGACTTTAAGTCGGACTTTCTCAAAACCTTAACCTTTCCCGATTTTCTGAAAATTACAAGAAGCATAGTGATCAGAAGCATTGCTTCACACAAGTTACATTTGTCGTTCTAATTCTTTTTGTTTTCTCAAACCCTCTTCATTATACTTGAACATGCGTTTGTCCGTAACCCATTCATCCCAGCTATATGAAACCGTAAATTAATACTGAAATATTATTACTTCTTATTCCAACCTCGGTAATGCACAAAATACATCACACCATCTTCATTCACTTTGACGTCTAAACATTTTGCTTCATACATAAGAGGACCATGGAAACAAAGTAATTTTTCACCTAAATGCAATTGATTCTACATAAGAAAACAGTAAGCATATTACCTATTTCATATTTTGGTCTTAAATCCAAGTTACTCATGCTATGTAACACTCAGAAGGAACAGTCACCCAATGAAGGAAGAAGAGGAATATATAGGAGAAAAGGTCTTCTATCCCACCACGCGAGGTTTTAAATTGTCCGGGTACAAGCTAAGTATCATTTATAACAAGCTTTGACAACCGGTCCTCTTCTTGCTCTAGTACAGCCGGGCCAGCCTTTCTTTCTGAAAAAGAGGAAATGAGAAATTCATTTAGTGGTATCACGTTGGTTTTTATGTCATTACAGCTAATCATAGTGACACAAAAGTCAGTACACGCTCTCTAATGTCAAGTATCCCATATCGTTTTTACGAGCCAGCATAAATCAATTTGATTTCTTTGTGCTCGTTTCTTGACTGTAAGGTAGAGGTTCCTGATCTTCGGTAAACTTCTGCGTAGCTCTTCTTGCCAATCAACCGTCGTAGCTTTGGTTGACACCAAAGGGAGTAGTGCTGAGACTAATTATATGTGGTTTGTCGTATGAGGTGTGTTAAGACTGTTACTACTGCAAATGGAGTTGATCGTTTTGCCATTTAGTCCTCCGGTATCGTCGACAAGAGAAAAGAGATGGTAATAATATATATAATTTGTGAAGTTATTCAAACCAACAGACAGAAAAAGAAATAAGAAAACGTAGCAACTGTCAGCTGATTAAATTTGAAGAAGAATATGAATAATATATATGTATCGGTAATAATGATAATAATAATAATTGTATTCAAAGTTGTCAGAAACGTAAGACTGGAAAGAGTGTAAAGAAGTAAAAGGACGAGTTTAATTGTCTGCCCCTGAATGGTGTATGCGATTTTAAGGGAACAGGCCATTTGGATGCATCCCTTGTGTCGCTGCATGATTGTCCAGCCTTCGCTTAAAGGCGTCCACAGACGGTGCCATAGCTACATCTGCCGGTAAGGAATTCCAGGGATGGCAAACCCTCAGTGAAAAGAAGTGGAAGCGCACCCGGGATTTCCACGAGGAAGCCTATACCTACTCACTGGAAGAAAATCTTTGTTTGGGAGATTCTGGTCATTCGTTATTTTGTAGACAGTAATCGAATTCCCCGTAAGCCGATGTGAGAATAGGCCTAATTTCTTTAGCCTTTCATCATATGATTTGTTTCGGAGACCAACCATTGCTTTTGTTACCCGTCGTTGCACTCTTTCCAAGAGGTCGGCGTCTCTTCTAAGCAGTGGGAGTGCAATAATATTATGCACTTCGAGGTGTGGTCTAGTGCATGTTTCGTACAACCTTAGGAATAGCTCAGGAGTGAGTGCACCTAACTGTCTACGCGTAAAGTGTATGACCGCATATGCCCTCGCTACGTCCCCAGTGTAATTTACGCTTGTGTCCATTTTTTCTCTTACAACTAGACCTAAGTCGCGTTCTGATGTTGTGCAGGATAAGCTTTCGTTGCACAGGGTGTAACTTGCATTCTGCAGTCTACACGTGCCCAACTTCACTACTTTGCACTTTTCAGGTTGAAAGTCACGCCATATGGCCACCGCCTAGTCTTCCAGAAGCTTTAGATCTGTCTGCAGTCTATCTGAATCCTCTGGACACACTTTGTCGCCCTCCATATCTTTACGTCGTCAGCGTATAGAAGAGTCGGGCAGCTTAGACGGCGTGGTAGATCATTGACAAAAATCAAATAAACATCAGTGGTCGTAGGATAGAACCCTGCGACACTCCTGATGACGACCTGTGCCAAGATGATCGGACTCGATTGACCTTAGTGAGAAATTGCCTTTCAGCTAGATAGCCCTTTAACCATGACAGAAGTGGCTCACCTCCACCTGCCTGGATTATTTTATGTAGGAGAAGGTCATGGTGAACAGTGTCAAATGCCTTCTCAAAGTCTAGGAACACCACATGGACTGGAACATTCATATCTCAGCATGATATCCAATCGTCCAAAGCTGATAGTAGGTTAGTAACGCAGGATCTGCCTTACCTGAGACCGTGTTGGGCTTCATGGAGTATATAAGACCTATCGAAATATTCCCTGATATGATCGTCATTAATACTTTCCAGCACTTTTGATACCACTGGGAGTAGAGCTACTGGTCTATAACTAGTGGCATTTTGCCTATCCCCACCCTTGAAGATTGGAGAAATGATGGCTCTTTTCCACTCCCTTGGCAGTTTCCCCGAATCCATTGGGTGTTGGAACAAGTCGCACAGGGGCCTACAGAGAGCTTCGGCGCACTGTTTCAGAACAGATGGCCTGATTTCGTAACAACCTAAGGACTTCCCAGATGTGAGTCGCTGTAGCTTCCTTAGTACTATTGCGGGGTTTATTTGGAGAGTAGCCACTAGGTCTTCCTCCAGTGAAATGGTGGCGCCACCATTTTGGTCCGTAACTGTAATACCCACATTGCTGTGTTAGCTGTGTTGGCGAAGGCTGAACTGAATGTTTCAGCCATCTCCAGACTAGTGAGATATTGACCGTTTGGGCCTACTAAGACACATGCCCCCTGGTTTGCTGGTTTTCTTTCCTACATGAATCGGTACAAGTTTTTGGGGTTTGCTAGGAGTTTTTGGCGAGGTTAGTCTGGAATAACCTCCTGTCACTCCTGACTCTCGCGTTGCACCGGTTCCTGAGTTTCAGGTATGCGTCGTAGTCGGCCTGACTCATTGATGAAATCAACGCTCCGCGTAAACCAAGCCTCCCACTCTGCCTGCAGAATACGTTGCGTGCCTCTCTTCAGCCATGATGACTTTCTTTTGGGCTGTGTTGTGACTAAAGGGACGTTATCCGAGATTGCTGTGTGAATAATCTTTTTTACCACTTCCCAGTGTTCATCCATAGATAGCTCATCCCATGCCAAGGGCCAGTCTGCGTCGGACAAGAGCCTCCGCATTTCAGCATAGTCAGCCTTGCTGTAACAGACATGGGCGCGTAGCATCCCACTGCAAACGCTCACGGAGAACAAGATCGAAACCTATGACTGCACGGTCACTACTTCCTAAAGGAGTCATGATCTGGACCTTTTCGACGAGTAGTCGGTCACTAGATAGAATATAGTCTAGTCTTGATGACTTTCCACCAGGGCCCCACGTAGTGTTGTCTCCGACATTCTCAGTCAGCCCGTGTTTTGAATAGTTTGTAGTAGGTTTCGGCCAAATTTTCCCTTAGCATACCCTGAACCAAGGTTCAGTGAATGGCGTTGAAATCTCCAGCCATGGTGATTCGGTCGTAGCCCAAATCTCGTATCCCTGTGATAGTGCTGAGCAATAGCTGATTGTGCTCTGCCCCACATGTGGGAGATCGGTAGATGCCACCCAGTAAGTGCTTGGTGTGGCCTACGCTGATTATTATTATATCGTTTAATTCCCAGAGGAACATAGGTCTTCAGCCGCGCGTCTCCTATGGCCTATGCATGGCCAGCCTGTAAAACGACATCTTAAAATCAACAATGGACAAATTGCCGCTGTACAAAAGATACGTCGATGATACTTTTATAGCTTGTCAGGATGATTCCTATTTAAATTGTATCTTGTAGGAGTTTAATAACTATCATCCTTCAATTAAATTCATAATGGAGGTTGAAAATGAATCAAAGATTCCATTTCTGGGTGTCGAATTGTACACTCTAGAAAATGACCAGCATATAGATTTCCCTCGTAAAACAGAAAAGTGTTTAAGCGATGTAGTCTTAAACGCCTTAGGAATTGATAAAGCTATCGCAACTCTTAAGCTCACTAATATTCCCAGCCCAGATGGAATGTCTTCCGTCCTCTTAAAAAAGGTTGGGAATGACATGAACCTATTTCTTCTCAAGATATTTTCAACTTCGATAAGGAGTGGAATATATTCAAATAGCTGGAAGAAATCTTAAGTTGTACCCATTCACAAAACCGGATCTACAGCGGACATAGATAACTACCGCCCCATCAACATCCCTTCCGTAGTTTCACGTGTGATGGAAAAGATTGTAAAGAAGCAAATTGTTCAGTGTCTGCTTTCGAATGACTTAATATCCCCTTCCAATACGGTTTCCTAACTAGAAGATCGTGCATTACTTGCCAGTTAGATTATTTCGACCACATTACTGAATGTGTAGACAAAGGTCGTTCGGTAGCAACATTATTTCTAGATGTTATGAAAGCTCTTGATGAGGTCCCACATAACGGACTCATATTGAAACTCCTATCACATGGAACAAGTGGAAGGCTGCTTAAGTGGATAGCTTCCTTTCTTACAGGAAGAGAACAGATAGTTAAAGTCAACCGTCACTTATCAACACCCATACCGATAACCGGCGGCGTGATACAAGGTAGTGTTCTTGGCCCTACCCTATTCACTTTATTCATAAATGATATTGTTTTAACTTCTTATAAGGTAATCTGTTCATTAGGACGCATGCATACATATATAATATGTTCATAAAGATGTACGTGGAGACCCATTGGAAGAACTCATTAAGAAGGCTAGGGAGACGGAATATAAGTTACGGACATGTCTGGTACCAAGCAATATATTTGCGGTAACCATAATAATCATAGTCTCAGAGCCTAACAGCATAAGAGGAGGGAGGGTGGTGCTAACTGATCAGTAGATATGGTGGTGGTCAATAAGGTGAATCACCCCATTCTGCAGGAACAGCAATACGCAATTTGAAGGCTCGAGATATTTCTGATTTTTATGAGGGCTTAGATCTTTATCTTGAAAAAGATAATAATGAACGCCTTGACAGATCATGCTTCTACCTTTAAATATATACCATTCGCTCAGCCTATTGTTGAGATGCGACAATGCGGGATCTGCACAGATTTATGGAGCATCTTATAAATTAACTTGCTATCCAACGTCAGATCTTTATATACCACTTCACAATACCTTGTCTCACTTATTTTCTAATAACGTCTTTACTTGATCCTCATTATATTCCATTAAACCTAACATTTTATAGCTCTTTATGAATTTGATTCGACTTATTATATTCCCATTCTCTGTAGGGTACGGTTGTGCACCAAATAGACAAGAAGATATGAAATAAA